AGAGAGAGAGAGAGAGAGAGAGAGAGAGAGAGAGAGAGAGAGAGAGAAACAGAGACAGAGAAGCAGAGACAGAGAAACAGAGACAGAGAAACAGAGACAGAGACAGAGAGACAGAGAGAGACAGAGAGAGAGAATGCCAAGCAACATAAGCGACACTGTGGCCCACTGTCATGAAATAGCTAGTGATACCATCAGATCGTTTTCTCTTGATGGCCAGGGATGTTCTTATCCAATATGATTGAAGAACATTTCACAACTGATAATGGACAAGCTTAGGAAAGTCCTTGAATGATGAAATAATTGCTCCTTGATTATGGAGATATATTCCAAACCTCTGGTATGCGCCCAAAATTTAAGATAATGCAAAATCCTCCATCTTCTAACTTCTTTCCTATCATGAACACTGTGGTAAAGTACAGCCTATAAATTAGCATACTAAGATATTAAGAACATTAATAGTGTACAGTTTATAAATTCTGGACTACCTATTACATCATTTTTATGTTTAAGGCTTTTGGATGAAGTTGTCCTTGGGTACTTTAAATAGCAGGAAATAGATGAATGTGTGAGGAGAGACAATATTGTTATCATTTTCTATGGTTGTATATTCTCACATGTTAATTTTTAAACTGAAGAAATACTGTGGCTCTTCCAATGTTAGGCATCTGGAAATTGACTTAAATTGGATAGCCAGATTGACAATCTCTGAATGTCATGAGAAGCAGACTATGAGATCAGACATTTTGGGATCAATTTTTAGACAACAAGGCAAGACCAGAGGACAACATTTTTCTCATACAACCCAGACACCTCAAGGCTTTTCATCCAACTACTAACTATGGAGGCTCCATTGTTTCTTCTGAAGTGTGAAATTGTCATGGGTGATAGAAATGAGAGGCACATAATACAGCTAGGTGATAGCATTTGCCTTTAATTCTGGCACTCAGAAGGCAGAGGCAAGTGGATCTCTGAATTCAACACTAGTCTGTTCTGATCTACGAAGTAAGTTCCAGGATGACCAGAGCTTTACAGAGAGACCCTGCCTCAAAAAAATGAGAGGGAGGGGGGGAGGAGAAAAAAGAAATGAAACCTTATAGTATTTTAAAATAAAAGAATAAAATATTCACATTTGTGTGTTCTGTACTAACAGAACTGAGGTTTAGCTTGTACGAGCATCAGCTGTACTCATTTTAGTGGTGATGTGAAATTTAAATCAAAAGAATTTTATGCTTATTCTAACGGGACTCCCCTTGGGGCCAGTGAAGGATTGATCTGCTTAGATGCAATCAATGAAGATGCATGGTTTTCGAGAGCCGAGTGGGGAAAGGGCATGTGCATTCTGACCTAAGCCTCTCGCAGGGAGATGGCAACTCTGATTTCAACAAGGGCGTGAAAGAAAGTGCTTATGCAGACCTGGCATCGCACAGCCAGGCTTCTGGGGGAAGTGCCAGGAATCATGTGCTCTTTTTTTGAGTGCCAAGAGTACTGAATTTCATCCAGTAATCTGCCTTGAGTCTGTGGAGCCAAGACCATCTTGCACATCAAGTGCTGATTTCACATCTGAAAGCAACGGAAATAAATGGAGGGGGACTCTGTGGTCTTCAGGCATATTCCCATCCCCTGGGCATGTAGACTTCCTGTCCCCCAAGTAGTCTCCTTGGCTTGTTCAGCATTCCTCCAGGTAGATACTGATGTCATAACCGCTGTGTGTCTGACACACCAAGTTCTTGGAACTTGGCTGCAGGATGCCAGGTCTGCATAGGCATTTTCTTTCATGCCCTTGTTGAAATCAGAGTTGCCATCACCCTGTGAGAAGCTGAGGTCAGAATGCACATGCACTTTCCCCACTTGCCTCTTGAAAACCATACATTTTCATTGATTGCTTCCAAGTGGGTTGATGCGACCTTTCTTCTTTAGTACAACCTTCTTTTGCAGTCTGGAAAACTTCACACTATTGAATAAAACCAGAATATTCTAAGAATATTCTTGCTCATTTTCTGAAGGCCAGTCTGCTTGTAAGGATGCAATGAGATCTGTGCTCACCATCTTGTCTTCTAACTTGGATAAATTTTTTACATACATTTTTGAGATAGGACCCCAATATGTAGCTTTTGTTGGCTTGGGACTCACTATATAGACCAGGAAGGTCTTGAACTCGTGGAGATCTGCTTGCCTCTGCAGCCAGAGTTCTGCGATTGAAGTCGTGGGTCAGCATACCATCCTTGGGTTGAAATTTTCAGCCTCCTTGTTCTCACTGATGACTTGCAAACTCATTTTTTTTTTATTGAAACAAAAGTTTCAATTTCCCACGTGATTTCATCATCCAGCTAGTCCAGGTACAGAGACTCTTTTTTTTTTTTTCAAACGTGACTATAGAATTGACAGCCACATTCTGTGATACAACATATCACAGCCATAGTACATTCTCCTGTAAGAGTAGCCTGGCATTTAGAAAAGAAGCATGGACCTTCAGCTCTTAAAAAAAAAAAAAAGAAAAAAAAGAGTGGGGAACCTGGAACATGATGTTAAGTTTAAGTTGGCAGCCATTTGGCCTAGAGAAGAAAGAATAGTCAAGATCCAGGGCTCATTAAAAGAATCCAGTGGCCAGCCAAGGCAGTGTGGGCGGTATGTTTCTCAGATGCCAGTCCTCCAAGGTCAGATGCCATATGAGTATTGTGTTCCTGTCTTGAAAAAAAATGTTTATACAAAGCGATTGGAATTTTCTCTTTCTTTCCTTTCTCTATTTAAAAGCTTTTCACAAATGCCAACTAGTTCTGTACAAGACCAGACCAATGACAACATCACAATATTCACCAGGATTTTGGATGGGCTCTTGGATGGCTATGACAACAGACTGCGGCCTGGGCTGGGAGGTGAGTGTATTTCCAGCTGAGGCTGGTGAAGATCCAAGGGGAAATCACCCTCAGCCATAAAAATATGTTGACTGAAGTTCAGATAACTTCTGACAGAACTACTTTGTCAGGATTCTAAGTAGAAAACCCATCTGTATCATGTCCTATTATAATTTTCCAGATTCATGAAAGTCGAGGGAAGTGGACTCCTTATCAAAGTCTTGAGCCTCTCTGTTTTCCGGATATAGTACAGTCCATTCTAGTTCTTTAGGAAAGAAATGAGCTCGTAGGTGCTGCTAAAGCTGAGCACCCAAGAAAATAATTCTTAAAAATCCCTCACTCTCTTCTCTGTAAATGCTTATCAGAAATTTACTGTCCACTGTGGTTTTTCTTTGTGTCTTTACATTTTGAAAGTATAATTTCTCACTGAGACCATAGTCAAGGTGTTTACAATGTCCCTGCTTATCTAAAGGAGAAAGCTCCTCAACCCCAGTGAAGGTCTGAAACAGCAACAACTTCCAAACTTTACATCTACTAACTGTGTTCCTATACATACAAACTGTTCAGTTTAGACCCTTTGCCAGAGGCATTCTTGAAGTAAAATGAGTTCTCCAGTGTTTGTATTATTAGTGAAGATTAACAGAAAGCACAGATTTGTATTCAAAGATTTTAGTGCAAGAAAAGTCCTCACAGGTTTGGCCTTATCTCTCTGAGCCACTGAAAGACATATCAGGCTCAGTGATCAACAGTCCCATCTCTGTTTACACGTTCAGAGGGCCAAAGCATAGGGATGATTGTTGAGCCACCATCAACTCAGGAATTTTATTCAGGCAGTCTGTGCCACTACTACTCACTCATCAGAGAGCCTAATGGGTCACTCTGGCACAGAGGGTGCAGAAGGGCTTGTATCTTATCCAGAAGGCAGGCCTTACAATCACTCTACAGAGACATGGCAAATAAGTGGATTATCACCCTAAGAGGAGCTTCAGGGAAACTATCTGAGCCCACTACGCCATCAGGTAGCTTGGAGTGCTTTAGTATGGATGGTGGTGGATTCTGAATGAAGTCTTTACTCATAACCCATGGGAAACAGTAGCCCTTGCCCCAGTATTATTGATCATTTTGATCAATTCTGTATATCCCATTACTTTAGTAATATAGTAGAACCCTGCGATGAGAGTTTCAAACAATTCACAATGTCATCTAAGGAGGAGTGATTCTCTTTTTCAAGCCGTACTTGTGTTGGTGTGCACCAAAGCCCTTTCTCATTACTCCTTTCTTGAGGCCACCTAGTACTTTCAGCTTTATTGGGAGAGTCACTCAAGTCAGTATCCAGAGCAGGATGGCCTTAGAACTCCAGGTTTAGGAGTGTCTCCACTCACTAACTTGTGTCTCAGTCTACATCTATTGAGGACAACTTCCCAGAGACAGAGGTACCATGAGACCTGGGCCATTTTCCTAATGATGGATACACTGTTTGATCTGTAGCTTGAAGCAATTCAGGTCCATTGAGCATTACTCTAGTCTTCTAGGTTTACGAAACACAAAAGTGTGTCACAGTTACGAAGAATGAAGTTCAGTGCTACACTGAGAACAACACAGTATAGAGGAGGCTCTTGGTAAGGCAGTGCAAAGCAACTTGTGTCTGTGTTTCAGAGCGAATCACGCAGGTGCGAACAGACATCTACGTTACCAGCTTTGGCCCAGTATCCGACACAGAAATGGTAGGTACCAAAGCCTGGTTAACACAGACAATTTCCACATCAAATTAACTGTGGTAAAGACCTCTCCCACTGAGATGTCACCCTGATGTCTTCTTGTGCATTAGGAATACACCATAGATGTGTTTTTCCGACAAAGCTGGAAAGATGAAAGGCTGCGGTTTAAGGGGCCTATGCAACGCCTCCCTCTCAACAATCTTCTTGCCAGCAAAATCTGGACCCCAGACACATTCTTCCACAATGGGAAGAAGTCCATTGCACACAATATGACGACACCCAACAAGCTGCTGAGGCTGGAAGATGATGGCACGCTTCTCTATACCATGCGGTGAGCAGTTGAGTACCCTTGGGTAGCAAGTCAGGTCAGCTGATGGTGCCCTGGAGATATCTGGACAAGGCTCAGTGGCTAATGGGTATGTAGATTATTTGAAGGTTGCACAAGCTGCAGAGGTGTGATGTACAGGCACAGTGAGCTCTTATGCTTTGAGAAGTACAGATACTAATGCTAGATCACATTGTTTCCATGGCCATCAACATCTGAACTCATTTTTATTTTTGGTAGGTGTTCAAGTGCATCCTTTGAAGTTGCAACCCAGATAATGAAAGAAAAAATTGTATTTTATACAAATTTTATTAATAATCCAAAGTGAACCCATTTTTTGTTGCAGTTGTACTGCTTTTTCATGGCTTGAAAACCTTTTTCTTATGTTTTGATAAGACATAAATACTGTTATATTTATAATTTAAAATGATATTTGTCACTACTATTCTGAATAATTCACAAACTTCTGTTAATCAATGAATTGACTAAAGAGCAAGAGTCCTTCATAACGTTGCAGTTTCCGTGGTAAAACTAAGTAGGCTTCAGAAAATGCTTTCAAAGTTACAAGAAACAAAACAAAATAAAAACCAGAAGGCCGCATTTCCCACCCCCACCACACACTCATCTGGGTATTTGTGGAGATTTTTTTTTCAAAAACAACTTTAATGTATTTAATATTGGAAAATAATATAGCTATTCTCATGGAGGCTGTGTTTTGAATAATAGGCACTCACAGACACATGGGCCCTACACCTATCTTGCAGCAAAACGTGACTTGTAACAAGGAGTGGTAGTAAGCAAGATTGTGACACACATCTTAGTAACTCAGTTTTTGCTCAACCCCTCATTTCTCTTTATTACACTGCTCTTGAACTTGTGTCAATGAACATAGCACATGTGAGCATGTGTCTCTAAACAGCACATTCTCCATGGAGAGAAGTCCGTGGAGAAGTTGAGGAACAGCTGCAAGATTGAGAATGAATCCTAGGTTAGTATCCTGTAGAAAAGAATCTGTAAGGAAACTCAATACAGCAGAGAAAGGTACAAGATAGAATAGGATCTCGTGCAGGATGCTAGGGGTACTTACCTTTGGGGTGAAGGATTGAATAAGGCTATTGTGGGAGTGACACTTTTTCATATAACAAAGATATCTACCATCTCATTAGATTATTGTCCTTGAGCCTCATCTCCAAGAGAATGGTTAGATCCAAAATATAAGCCGTACATCATAAAATGTGCAGCTTTATTCAGAGCTATGTGATGCCATACTCTGGTGTACGTTGCCTATGTGAGGAGTGGAGTTAAGTACACTCCTATATAGAGTTCCTCATATAGAGAGAACAGACAGGATGGGGTCCCTCACTGAGTACCATTTTGAGGGTACAGACAACAAATCCTTCCATTCTCAAAGACTTCTACTAGCCAGGTGCAGGCAAACACCTTCACCTTTAATGCTCAGAACAAATGAGGCCAAAGTAGTTTGGTAATCACCTCAGGGTCACAGAGCCATCAAAGGGTCAGCCATGATTTCAGCAATATCCTTACTGGGTATATCACAATTGAACACTGGAGCAAAGCCACGTTCTTACTGGATCTAGGAGAGTCCTATCAGTACATCTTTAGAGTACGATGCCCAGAAGGAAGGTAAGCGTGGTGAGAGACAGCGCTGCTTGTGACAGCAATGAGTGGTTGTTTATGCAGAGTGAGTCTGCTAATTAGCTGCAAAGTTGATAATGAGTTTTCTTTTTCTCAGTCTACAACATTTGAGAAGTGGAATACTTCTTAGTGTGTTAAAGCTGTCTTAATTGGGTTTCTACTCCGATAAAAACACCACGACCAAAAGCAAGGTGAGAAGGAAGGGGGCTCATTTCAACTTACATTTCCATGTAACAATCCATCACTGAAGGAAGTCGGGACAGGAATTCAAGAGATAAACCCAGAGATAAAAACTGAGTCAGGCCATGAAGGAGTGCTGTTCACTGGTTTGCTGTTCACAGTCTTCTCAGTTTCCTTTCTTATACAACCCCTGACCACCTTTCTGGGGTGGCACCACAAAGAGTGGGCTGGGCCGTCCTACATCAATCACAAATCAAAACATTACTCCACAGACTTGCCTGCAAAATAATCTAATGGAGATATCTTCTCATTTTAGATGATTTCTTTCCCAGATATGTCTAAGTTTGTGTTAAGATAACAAAACCAACCAGCATTTTATTGATTTAGCAACGACAATGTATTGACAGTACAAGTTACCTGTCAATTTACAGAGCACATGCTGGCAAAGGGGGAACTGGTAACCACCTATCATAGGCATTTGTGGGAGTGTTGTGTGTACTAATTAAAAAATCAACTCACGCTATTACTAGCTACTCTCAGGACACAGCAGTCTCCCCGCTCCCATGGTCCCCATGCGGCGGCCACGTAACTTCTCTAGGTTTGCTTGACTCTGATCTGCTCATATCTTCCCAGCCATCTGCCCATTGAGACTAGCTGTCACAAATCCCTGTAACCCAGTAAAACCAAAACTCTAAAGGCTTGCAATTTATCAGTCAGATTTATAACAGTAAATTCTCAACTCACAAAATGCCTGCACAATGAACAAAGAGCCAACTGATATTGATACAAGCTGCCCACCTAGATTGGACACATTGTCCTATATTATTCTATCCCTTCTATGGTATTTATAGCTACCTGTGGCTATTTCAAGCCACCTGGCTCTAGTTCATCTTCTTCCACCATTTTCTCTGTCTTTCCATCTGTCTGTCCTCTGTCCTCTCACTCTGAAACTCTCAGCCCTGTCTTCCTTTTTCATTGCACAATCACAGACTCTAGTCTTATATTTCACCTGCCCTCACCTGCATTTCAACAACAATCCACAGGGGAGCAGATTTTGTGTTCAGTACTGAGGTTACTAATCAGATCTGGCATTGCTGCTCAGATCTTGAATGTCCTTCCATGACCAGTAAGCTAAAGGATTTACCCTCTAAGCAGCAATATTGGGAAGAGGTGGACTCTCCAAGAGATGTAGAATAGCCTTGAAGTGAGGGGGTAGCTTTCCTCTTCCTCCCTTGAGCTCCCTAGCACCAGACATGTGGTGTGGCTCCGCCATACGTTCTCACTATTATGTTCTGTCTTGCAGCAAGCCCATAGCAATGGAGCCGACAAGTCATTACTACAATCTCCAGAACTATGAGCCACAAAGACCTCTTTCTCTTTGTAAATTGATATTTTGCAGGCATTTGTGACAGGAACAGATAACAAATTAGCACTCCATACAAAACTCGTGGTTTTTCCTTGGTGCTGTGATTCCTATGTAGTACCCACCCTGGGATACTGTGAATGTCTGTACAGAAATGTGTATTGTGATATTGCTCATGACACCCAACAGTAGAAGAAATATGCAATGGGCATATTTTTGAAGTAAAATTTTGTCCCCAGTATTCTGTAAGACTTTGAGTCTAACTCAAAAGCTGTAGTGAAATAAAGGCATGGTGTCCTTTTTGCTCTAAGGCATACCTAAAAATATCTTAAAACTGTAGCCACTGTCTTATAAAATGAAGCTCCCCCAGTATAGTAAAACCCAATATAAACCAAAGACATGCCTGTGCTTGGATAAGGTTTGACTTACAATCCCTACCATGCCCCAGAAGTCTTTTCAGTTAGCAGTCATTTAAAAACACATATCACTGAGATCTTTCTAGCCATTGTTGATGCAGGTTCCCCAACTCCCTGTCACCTGACACATTTAAGAGGAGCAAATAGTCAATGGAGGACCTGAAAACTTTTAGGGTTGCACCAATGGACCATTGTTTTGCTTCCATGATCTAAAGACAAACTTCACCAGCCAGCAGCTCTAGTAAACCTAAGGAGAACCCCTGACATTATCTTTAAAAAGAAGTCCATTTTGGCTGGGAGTGTATCTCAGAGGAAAATCTGTGAGTTTAACATGTATGAGACTCCAGACTCCATTCCCAGCACCAACCAAGGAAACACACAAGAAGCTCAATGATAAATTCAGAAACTTACAATGTTTCTTAAAGGATTATGTTTTAGTAAACCCATTGTAAATGAAAATTGTCCTGAGTTGAAGATGCCTTTCATTCCCTCAGCCTGGTGGACAAGGTTAGCAGTAGCATCTTGCATGTTTTTGGTATTTTCCCACAAACACAAGGCTCTTGGGACCATGGCTCTCTGTGGTTCCAGAGATACATTGTATTTTATATTATACATTTATTATATATTTATATTATACATTTATAGCTTGAAAAATTAATGACACTGAAATGTTTATGCATATCCAAATGTAAACATCTCTACATAGCCATGGTCCAAGAAATTCAGACTGCAGTATACTAAGCCAGAAATGGACTAATATGAAATTCAAAGTATTGCTTCTCCTGAGTGTCTCATTTGTACACCCTCTTCCTGTCAAATCTGCAAATCTGACATGGGAAGTTAGAGACTATGACCAGGGATTTCTGAAAGGACACCTCCAACATGCACCCTACCAAGAGTTGTGTGCCCAGCACTTGTGGGTTGGTCACTTCTAAGGAAGCCTTTGCAGAGATGCCTTAGGCCTTTCTATCTATGGTCATGGAATCGAGGGATAATGTCTCCAAAGATCTGTTCACTCATGCTCTCCAAGAGGGTTGCTATGACCAGCCCATGTAATTGCTGTTTTATTTTCTTGGTGGAACTTTCTGACGTCATTGCATGGAAGGCGAGGTTGGAGGCCCTCTGGGCAAGTCCCTACAGCATAGGGTAAGGGCATCAAGATGTGATCTGATGTCTCTTATAAGTAGCTCACTTGGCTACCAATGGCTGCCATTCCTTTATCCTTCCCCTGAACTCTCGGAACATGTGTACTTTGTAAGATAATGCTGTAAGCACCACCTTAGGGAACATAGCATTGAATAATGGGCTCCTGGTTGAAGTTGTTAGCCTGTTGGGCAAAAACCCACTAAAGGCAAGAAAGCAGTTAAAGAAGGCTTGCAGCACCAGAGTCT